GCATTTCCCTAACGCTTAATAGTTCACAGCTTTTCTGAAGGCAGTTTGGAATATGTAGTCAAAACCGTAAAACCAAGTCTATTTCCTGACCTAGCAGTTCAGCATCTAGAAATTCCCATGTACAGAGCCATCCATGCTCACATACTTGTCCCAGGGTTGTTGGTACTGATGCCTGGAACTTCATCTGAGGCGCACATCAACCAATAGCAAGGCCTGGACCTCAGTTGGTTCCTGATTTTATACACTGTAAAGGGAAAAGATCAGGACAGGCAGGAAAAGTTGAACTCTGACTATCTGATACTAAAGAATTACTGCTAAATTGTTTTAGTTGAAAAGAGTCTTTCTGAGACATTCATCAACATGTTTATGGAGGAAATGCTATGATACTTGGCAGTTTTTAATGACTCAGTGTGGGGAGGGGGGGACCTGGGAGTAGCAGAGTGGACACAGTGGCCGTGAGTAGACACGGGCTGAAGTTCGTGATACCTTCATCATACTGTTCTCATTCTTTGTGCATGTTTGAAATTTTTCATGAAAGACTTTAGAAATAAAAGAGAAAGTAGCAAAGAGCTTGAATTTCAAGTTAAATTATCTTGCAGATATAAGTGTTAAACAGCAACTGATGCCAGGCAAGGTGGCTCACGCCTATGATCCCACCACTCTGGGAGGCTAAGGTGGGAAGATCCCTTGAGCTCAGGAGTTCTAAACCCAACTGAGCAAGAGCAAGCCCCATTTCTACTAAAAATAAAAATAATTAGCCAGGCATTGTGACGGATGCCTGTAGTCCCAACTACTTCAGAGGCTGAGGCAAGGGGCTCTCTTGAGCCCAAAAGTTTGAGGTTGCTGTGAGCTATGATGCCAGGGCATTGTATCCAGTGCAATAGAGTGAGACCGTATCTCAGTAAAAAGGGGGAAAAAAGGTAAATGGCAGAGTTGGGAGACCCATTTCTGAATTCACTCACTCAGTCATCTGCATCCCTCCAGATTCCTGACAATGTTCTCTCCATCCCCTGCATCCTCCACACCACTACCACCCCACCTCTCATTCATTCATTTCACATAGCTGTGGGGCAGCCCCAGCTCCCAGATTCTACTGCAGCTACAGGTGGAACCGAGCAGGGGCTCACAAGGCTCGTCCTCAAGTATCAATCTGAGTCTGCCTCTTGCACCAATCTGCAGCTCCTCAAAGGCAGGGTTGTGTCTTGTCTCTCCAGTGATGTAATTTTGGAGAGGCTCACATGACTTACGCCTTCTGAGCCTCAGTTTCCACATCTGTAAAACGGAAGCAGTCAACTGCCTCTACCTCTCAGGTATAGGAAGGAATTGCACTCAAACACTTAGCATGAGAGAGGCACTCAGTAACCCACTCGGAGGAAATGAGATCTGGGAGGCAGCAGGAAAGCAGGTGGCTATCCGGTAATGACAATGGTTTGTGTGTCGGCTGGTTGGTTTACAGGCTCAACTTCACACTGAGACACTTGGATGTCACATGCGAAGCCTACGACCACTTCCGTTCCTGTCTGCAGGTGCTGGAGAAGCTGGCGGATGACAAGCTGCGCTTTGTGGTGGAGCCCGTGGAGGCCTCCTTCCCTCAGCATCTTGTTTACGAGCGCATTCGGCAGCTGGTAGGTCTGGGCCCACGGGCAGGGCCTGGGTTGCTGACTGGGGCAGAGGACATGATGAAGCGGGCCCTCCACGTGCAGCCCCGAGGTGCTGCAGGGTTGAAGGCTGTATCCTTGGTGCCATCTGTAGTGAAATTCATGGGGGAATCTGTACCCCGTTCTTAGCAGTCACCGTGTCCATAAGTGAGTCCGCAGGTACCCTCACCTGTGATTTTCTAGCACACTTTCTCTGTGGGCAGTTCCGACTCAGAGGGGCAAGACCAAGGGCAGAAGGTTGTTTGGGGAGTGGGAGTCCCTGGAAGGGACTTGATGGGCTGTAGGTCCTGATGCAGGGGCCCAGCCTGGCAGCTGATGGTCACATTCTCACTGTAGGAATGTGCTGGCCTCTAGACTGAACAGGCCTGTCTCATGACTTCTGGCCCTTCTCACTAAGCGTAGTAGAACCCCATCTCACCAGGCTGACTGGTCATTGCAACAGCCATGGCTCGCCTGCTAAGCATGAAGGCCCTTTGTCTACTATCTCCTGTGTTAACACGCATGACTGAGATAGGGCACATCACCCAGCCAGGAGGCAGCAGAGCTAGGGGCCTCATGCTACACATCACTTTCTAGTACAGCTTTCAAACTCAGCACTTGGGGGAAATTTAGAAAGTCAAAATTACCCTTAAAAATCCCCTAAAATTATCCAGAGCTGGAGTCATAGTAGAACAGAGACTGAGAATTTACTTCTTTTGTCTTTGCCTCCTGGCTGTGGCCTCTCTTTCACTGTGTCTTCCTCGACCCAGGCCTGGTTCTAAGGAGGAAAAGGAGAGGATGAGGGATGAGGGAGTTATCCGAGCCAGTGCAGCATGCAGTTTATGTGGTTCTCCATGTCAGGAGGACCCTCCATTCTTTGCCACGCCACCTGTGGCAGCCTCCCTGCCTGTCGTCTCAGTCAGCCTCCCAGTAGACAGTGAACAGCAGGCTGCGTCCACTGATGAGGATGTGAGGTTACAGGGAGACCTAGGCACGTACTTGTGCATTCCCCACCTGCCAGCTTTAAGATTAGCATCACACGACCCAGAAACTCAGCTGCTCACAAAATGCAGCAGTCACAGTGCAGGTGCTTAAGATCCCCCAAAATGGAAAGATCCTGGCAACAGGCTGCTGTTCTCTTCATCTCTTTTGCTTGTGTGACATCGGGTGGCCCTGCAGTGAGTTAATGCTGGGACTCATTCACCCTGCCCCTCTGCTACAGTCAGACAGAATGAACAGCCCCTGGTGACCCACTTCCTGCTGCCCCGTGTGGCACCATGATTTGCATGTTGTTTGACTACTCTCTTTGGCTAATTACTTTCCTTGATGGAATCGGAGCGGTCTTGTTTGCACACTTGGAGAACCTGTCCTTTCTGTTTGCTGCAGGAGCTCTGGAAGGTCATCGCAGAACCAATAACGTGACCTGCGGCAGCTCAAGTGTTCTCGTACCACATTTCTAATAAAATCAAACTCTCACCAGGGTGATGAACTCAAGATTTTGTCATTTTAAAACTATAAGAAATGTACCTTGTTATATGACCCAAGGTGGTTCTCGGGGGCCTGTCACTGCCTCCCAGGAGCAGCCAGGGGTGTCACTGCCCCAGACTGGGAGTCTGTTTGGTCGCCTGTTTATCATATGTGGTGATGTGTCCTGGAGTGCTTGGTCAAGTTGAGCAAATGTTCTCAGCCTGATTCCACCTGAGGCTGTCATTGCAACCCCTTGTGTCCCTTGTGGGAGGAGGCCGTGGCTGTGCAGGGAGGTTTCTATGCTCCCTCTCTTACCTAGTTATAAATGTCTTTAATGTTGTTGCCACAGCTGCCATAATAACAGCACTCAGGATAAAAGCCTGGTTTCCTCCCCTGGGCCTGTGTGCTCCATCCCCGTCCCTCTATAAGGGCCCCATGAGGAGGAAGGGGCCAGCCCAAGAGTGGACTGGCCTGGACTGGCATTGGCCTTTTTCTTAATATTAGCCCCTTATATCCCAAATCAAGTACACTTAGAGCAAACGTAAGATCCACTCTTTTAGATTCCATGCAGTGACCCCCCTCAGAGATGCTCCCTTCAGCCTGGGCTCCCCTTCCTTCCCTCCCATGGTGCCATCTTCATCACAGGCACAGACAGACGTCCATCTGTCCTTCCATCTTTATGCCTCTCCTCCCACTCTGACCATCTCCCACTCTCCCTCACTGCAGATTTGGCCTCATCGTCCAGCATCCCTTGGCCATCCTGCAGCCCGCTCCCTACCTCACTGCTACGTTGCTCACTCTGCACCAGGGCCTGGCATGGCCCTCCTCGCCCACCCCCACAGCCCTGGCCTCCTAGCTCCCCATCCAGCTGTCCTGCTCACTGTCCCGCTCCCCGTGCACCCAGGTCTGATTCTCAGCCCATCATACCCCCGGGCGTTGGCTTATCTCGATGTCAGGATCCAGCATTTGTACTTCTAAATTCATTTCACCTTTCCAACAAATGTAAGAAGTCAGCAGCCTTGTCATGCCCACTTCACAATTGAGAAGACTGAGGCTTCAAGAAGAAAAACTTCCCTGTGAAGTCAAGGACCTTGTTTGTCTTAAACATCCCTGCATGGCTGGCATGTGGTCCAGCACCGAATAGTCTAGCACATAGTGCTGAATGAATTAGTAATGGAAATTCTTGATTGGAATAGTATCTCCTAATTCTGGGTGGTTTTGCCTCCAGGGGCATTTGGTCCTAGGAGGGGAGCGAGGGCTGCTTTTGCACCTGTTGGGTGAAGCTACAGATGCTGCGGAACATCCTGGAGAGCGCAGAGGAGCCCCCACAACACAGGCAGACCCCACTCAGGATGCCAGTAGTGCCAAAGTAGAGAAATCCTGCCTTGCAAGAGGAAAACTCGCTGTTTAGGATAAGAGAGATGGGTCTCAGCCAAACTCGTAACTCAGGAGATGCAGAATGAGTCTGACCCTGCCCCTCTGGGAGCAGGAAGAAAACCCACAATGTATGTTACCTGTAAGTCTTCCGAAGAGTCTAAAAGACAGAAGTGATCCTTATTTTACACATGATCCATCTGAAGTTCAGAGAGGTTAAGCCATTTACCCAACATCACACAGCTACTGAGGGCAGCGTCAAGCGTGGAGCCCACATCCTTTTGCCTTCCAGACCCATGCTCTTCCCACATGTCCATTGTATGGCCCTGGACCAGCAGCCACACCCATGGATTCTTTCTAGAAATGTAGCATCAAACCCAACTCAGAACCACCTGAGAATCTGCA